GGAAGGGGGGGGGGAGCCCCTTTCCACCTCTACCATCAGGAACATTTTGCTGGACTGTTTTTGCCCAGGACCTCAGGAAACCGAGAATGATCCTGCTCAGCTGCTGTGACTGACCACACCAAACTGCTCCTGATGCTCAGAACAGCAAGTTTCATTTCTCATCTCAAAAAAAAGCACATCCGTGGCACTGTTATTCCAACAGCGGTGCCAAATCAGCTTTAATCTGAGATCTTTGAAGACTCCTAACTGTCTACTCTCACATGAAGGTTTAAGACTCATCTTTAAATCAAGTTTGAACTTTTTTCCTGGAGTTCAAACCACCTAGGCCCTCTGATTTTTTTCAGTTGGAATGAAGCTTCCCTGTTCTCATCCTCCAGAAAAAAATCCCACCTACCATTTTTTGTTTCCAGAGCAAGATAAGTAGGTTCACATACAGCATCATTAGGAAGGCCCATTTGCATAGTGCTTTGCCATCCCTGCCTTCAAGGCCTGCCACATGAGCACAGCCCCAACTTACCTAGTGAGCTCAGGAGCAAGTTCCCAGCTCCTCTGCACAGTGAAATACCAGCTCTGCATCCCCAAAGGAGAAGCAGCTGCAGGATTTGCTTTTAATTAGTTTTGCTGCACTTGTACTCAGTGTTTGAGAGGGGCCAAGACAAGTACTTTTGAAGGCCACCTTAGCCACTGACAGAAATGCAGACACCACCCAGCATCAGCCCTGTCTCAGTCTGCAGCTTCCCAGCAGCCCAGGCCATGACAAGAGCTCCCTCTTGACAGCAGCAGACAGTTAACACTAATCCCAGAGCAGAATAATAGCCAAAGTGAGATGGATTCAGAAAAACAACATTTGGAAAGCTCTCTCACAGACATCAGGATAATTTTTGTCTTGCAAACAAAGGCTTACAGCCAGGGTCCCCAAGGCACACTCTTGTTCAACCCTGCGTGCTCTGCTCCAGGGAGAAGGAGTCCCACAGACCAAGTGGGTTTGACAGCCACTTTATTGTGATACATTGATTTCATGCATTACAGGCACCTTCCTTCGCCACAGCACAGCAGCCACAAGTACCATACACAGAGCCGCCCCAGTTGCCACAGCAGCAAACCCCAGAGCCCAGGGGGCTGCAGCATGCAGAGCTGTTCCTGTGGGGGGGGAGAGAGGCCCAGTTAACACTCCCCCAGTGAGACACAGGGATGCCTAGGGGCTCAGCCTTTCTGCAGGAAAGACTTAGATCAGCCCCCTTCCCCAGCCTGGCTATGCTGGGCTGGCATGCTCACCAAGGCCATCCTTGGCTGTGTCCCATCTTAGCTCATCCTGGAGGAAAATCACAGGGCCTTTGCTGGAGACATGGGAGGCATCGTCCTGAAGAGGATGCTCAGCACTCCTTTTACCCCCTACAGAGCAATATAAAGGTTTTAGGTGAGAAGATGTATAGCCCTGAAGGTCAGCAAACTTTGTCCAGGTCAGCTTCTCAACACATGAGAAGCTCTGAAGGCCAAGCTTTCCATGTGAGTCAACACAGAACTAAGCCTATGAAGACCTCTGCCTTTGTGGCATAAGGGCAAGGGCCCTTCCTTAGTGGAAAGGAACCAGAAATGCCTTGTCAAGCTGTCCATGGCTCGAGGGAACTAGTCCATAGCCTACATGTCCTCCTACCCCCCAGCTTGGAGGCTAGACCCTTGTCCCTTTGGATGGAGAAGCAGGAGGGTAGGACACTTACTGGCTCTAACAGGACAAGTGGTGGTGCAGGACTCCTGTACAGACCGGTGGCACACTGAAGCACTGCAGTGCAGGTACACCTAGAAAGAATGGAACACAGCCTGGAATCACTTAGGCAGTATCTGTAGACAGGTAATATCCTGGTGTGGTGCATTGACCCCAGCCAGCAGCTAAGCACCCACACAGCCACTTCCTCACTCCCCCTACCCTGCCCCAGCAGGGTGGGGAGAGAATAGGAAGAGCAAAAGCAAGAAAACCCATGGCTGGAGAGATAAAGACAGTTTGATAAGCAAAGGAGAGGGAAGAACAAAACCAAAGTACAAGTGATGCAAAGGCAAACCATCCACCCCGCTCCCACAAGCAGACTGATGCCCAGCCAGTCTCTGAGCATCAGCTACATTGGAAGACAAAATCCTCCAGTGTTTATTGCTGAGCATGACATCATACAGCATGGAATATCCCTTTGGCCAATTTGGGTCAGCTGTCCCAGCTGTGCTGCCTCCCAGCTTCTAGCCTACCCCATGCCTACTCACTTGGGGTTGAAAACAGCAGAGCTAGGAGAAAGAGCCTTGATGCTGTGCAAGCACTATTCAGCAAATAACACACCAGTGTTCTAGCTATCAACACTATCCAAAAACACAGCACCATATGGGCTGCTCAGCTATCAACACTAGCTAGCCACAAATCCAAAAACACAGCACCATATGGGCTGCTGTGAGTATAGTTAACTCCATCCCAGCCAGACCCAGTGCACCTAGTCACAGAAGGGAGAAGGCAGAAAGATTGCTTTGGCTTGCTTCACATGCAGGCTGTAGCTTTGGAGCCCTCTGCTGCAAGGCAGCTTTGATACCTTTACCATACACCTTCAAACTCTGTCAGATCTGGCATTACAGCATTTCTCACCAACACCTGGGACACAGCTGTCCAAGCACGACTACACTGTGACCACTGCTAGGTACAGCTGGGACCAGTTTTGAGTATTAATTGATCCCAGGAGCACTGAGTAAACAGTACAAGGCATGGTGAACTTCATGTGACTTAACTGCTCAGAAGCTCATGAGATTCAGAGCCCAGATGCTTCCCAGGTACCAAAAGCTATTTTGGCCAAGAAATTTAGAGAATATTGATTAGCATAGTTAGAGCACACACCCTAAGCTAGTGCAACAGAACAGCTTAGGCAGCAAGCTAGCACTTGCTTAAGTAGACCTACCCTTTCAGTAGTCTCATTTTCTGTCACACCCCTCCAGTGAAGCATCTTACCTCTACCACATTCGTCTCGGGGAAGACAGTTTCTTGCATC